GATACAATTAAAAATTGATCAAAATAAAGTGTCAGAATGGACATTGATCACATAACCTCGCAAGGATAGCAATCATGGAGTATTTAATTTTCATTTAAATTAATTTTCATTACTGGTGATTGTCATGATATAGTGCCTAAGAAAAAAATTGTCTTTGGTAGTATGGTTATGAACTACAAGAATGTTAGAGGAACTGGGCAAAAAAGTTGATAAATTTGATGATGAAAATCGATACACCTAGTTGAGTTTTAAAATAAACGAGTCCGTAGTTAGCTCAGATGATCTAGCTACTAATAAAATTATTAGTAGCTAGATCATTTTTCTCCCAGTACAGAGAAGAATACATTTTAGTTATCTTTCGAGTCTTTTATCGGGAAGTTCTTATATCAAAGTGGTGAGAAGTGTTTCACTCATACTAGCACTAATTTTTCACATATGAATAATTTATGTTTTTTTAGTACATCACCAATACTGGTACACATTTTCTGTTTCGTACAAATAAAGATGCTCCAAACTATAGAATAGTTGTTATTGATTTTAAAAATCCGTCCGAAGAAAATTGGATAGACTTAATATCAGAGCATTCTAAAGATGTTTTGGACTGGGCACATGCTATTAACATGAATATGATTGTGGTTTGCTACCTCAGGGATGTCAAGGTAACTGTCAGAAAAATATATATTAATTATAATCGCATCAGTGCTTTTTCAGAATGCAATGGCAATTCATGACTTGAAGACTGGTAAAAAAATATATGATTTCAAGTTAGATCTTGGAACTATATCTGCTTTTTCTGGAAAACGTTACCATAAAGAAATGTTTTATAGTTTTGGCTCATTTTTAACACCAAATATTATTTATAAGGTCAACTTTGATGAAGAAAAAATTAAGGAAGAGGTAATGGATGTTTGCAAGAAATTACTTTTGCATTCCTCTAGTAAGGAGTAAATGATTTTGAGGTACAATATTGGTGCTTTCACAAATTGTATTTTTATGGTGAATTATTAACAAAAATAATGTAGGTAATTAAGGTTTTATCCGAGGGAGATAATTTTTATTGACTATTTTGAAATATGTCAAGTGTTTTGAACTATTACTATTAGAAGAGTAACTGGTTCTTACTGCATACTTTATTTAAAGTAATAAGAGTATGAAAAGGGGTATTACTTTACACACTTGTGACTTTTTCAAAATTCAAAGTATTAGTGAAAGCTGATAATTATGAGAAAAATCGAAGTTGAAACTCATTGGTGGGATAAATTCATTTCAAATTATTTTTTTGTTTTTTTAAATACCAAATTTCCGCACATATTGAACATGCCTATTGAAAACATTTTTTTCAAACCAGTTTATTTATTCACTGAAAAAGGCCTGAGATATTATTTTATGGAGACCATCAAGCGAAGAAGGAAATTTTCGTTTATGAATATCTGACTTGATAATTTTGTTCATGGCCTTTGAATTAAGAAAAATTTTAAAAAGTTTTACTGTGTTTGATGTGAAACTAATTTTGGTAAATTGAGTAGGATTTGTAGTCTTGCCTTTCAAAATCAGTTTTTCTAAAAATTATGCAAGGTTATGTTCTTTTCAGAGAATATGGGGATAACTGGCATAATGGCGGTAGGTTTGAACAAAAGCAGAATTGCTTTGATGACTTTCAGTATGCAGCAAAATTTTTGGTAAAAGAGAAATATACATCTGTTGAAAAGTTGACAATACAAGGTGGTTCGAATGGTGGGCTTTTGGTAGCTGCATGCCTCAATCAGGCTCCTGAATTATTTGGAGCTGCCATTTGTCAAGTTGGTGTGTTGGATATGCTACGATACCATAAATTTACCATTGGTTATGCTTGGAAATCAGACTACGGGTGTTCCGATGAAGAGGATCAATTTAAATATTTATATAAATACTCTCCTCTGCATAATATTCAAATACCAAAAGGTTGGTATATAAAAGTGTTAGAACTGAGCAAATGTATGTCGTATCTCCTCAGTATTCATTGATTAATGAAGTTCAGTTTGTTTCATTCGATATTTTCACTCATTTATTTGCGTTCAGATATTTGGCCATATTCAGAGAATTAGTCATACACTGAAAAACATGTTAATTATTGATTAGCTTTCCAGAATTTACAATGCAGTAGCAATACGTTTACAGTTTTTAATCTGTGAAATTTTCAAGTATATTCATGCACTTATTTTTGTCACAAGTTTTATTACACAATGTGAATGTATGTTTTGAGGATATGCTTTCTCTCATCTATGAAGCAAGTTAGTTGTTTCTAAAATGTGTTTTGTATGGTAATACAATGTATGGTAATAGGTATATTTTTTTTACTTTTTCCTGAGGTTGGGTTTAGAACAATGAACCTTCACCCATTTTAGGTTTGGCTCCAAGTATTTCTCTAGAAATTTCATTGAATTGTTTCGTTGAATGTATTCTGGTTCTACATATGCTCTACATGTATAGTTTTTGCCAAGGATGAAAATTGAAGGAAAAATCTTTGCTCAGGTTCAGAATTACATGATTTGTGGGCATCTGTTCACTTGCTCTTTTTAGAGTTATATTTCCTATGGTTTCCTTTGTGTCAACTACAAACATAGAAACATCTCAGTCTGTAGTGTAATTTGGTAAATCATTAGCATGAATTGTACAGGTTCAAGTACGGAATCTTGTGATACACCTAGATCAAAGGTGAAAATAGTTTCAAATTTAATTCTTTCATTCTGATAATTTCAACATATTTTTTTCTGTTTCTTAGATATGCATCAAATTATAATCGTAAGTCATAATGAAGTTTACTAATTTTTGTTGCGACTAAAAACTTGAAAATTTCCTTGAAAATTTAATATCTATTTTTTTACAACTTATCATACTACTTACTTACGAATTTAAAACTGATGAATTCATCAACTTCTTGATATTTTCTTGTGAAGTTGATTTACATTTGGGAATTGAATTTGAAAAACTTGCAGGAACTATATTGTTGATTAGAGTACTTTATTTGACTATTATAGTATATTTATAGCAAGTCGCTAATACAGAAATCCTTGTTCTTTTGACATTTTATATTTAGTAAAATGTGTGACGTTGATCACCAAAAAATAAATGAATTGCAGTTGTAATACAATAAATTTAAAGCATGTTCTATTTGCTTGCAGTCATCTGAAAATTGCATCAGCCGATGATAACCCATGATTGAAGATTTTTTTCTTGAATTTTTAGATGGTACTCAATATCCAGCAACATTGCTACTAACAGCTGATCATGATGATAGGGTGGTACCTTTACATTCATTGAAATTCATTGCTGAACTACAATATAAGGTTGGAAAGTTGCCAACTCAAAAGAACCCCTTGTTTATTCGGATAGAGACAAGAGCAGGGCATGGCGCAGGAAAACCAACTTCAAAAATTGTGAGTTATGCAACTTGAACAGTTTCAGTTAAACTTTTTTTCTAAGTTGTGGAACACGAACACCGGTGAATATTTCAGCTCATGGCAGTGTTTATATTTATTATGATGAAGAGAATCATCTCAAAACGCTTCGAAATCAGTATTTGGAAATCAAACGAAGTGAAAACTTGACTGAACTCAATCAAATTCGGAGTAATCTTTAAAGAGCATGCAAACTACATATTGAAAACTAATTTTTTTAAAGTAAATGTGTTATTCAGATGTTCAAGATATGGAAAAAAAGGTAATATACTTCTATGTGCTTCATTTTGTCATGTAACTGAAGCACTCGATTAATCAAGAAATTACTTTTGCATTCCTCTAGTAAGGAGTAAAACAAAATAATATTTCGAATGTAATTTTTCATTGAAAAATATGAATAAAAAGAATATATTTGGACATTTTTTTTGCCTTTTTCCTATAAACTATTCTGACCTATTTTGCAGCCAGGCTAGGTAAGGTATTGGAACAGTTTCTTAATCTTTTTTTTAGTAAACATATTGAAAACATTTGAGACTTTCATGTATTGTATACAAACCTTAACGTGTTGTTTGCTATAAAATAGTTTCTTCAGGCTTGTAATTTTTCAAAACAAGCGCTTGTAATATTATTAATTAAACCTGAAAAAATTATTGTTAATCATACATGAGGTTTACTAATTTGTGAGTGTAAAAATCTACCATCTAGTATTTGTGATAAAACAAAGGTTTTGACACATTAACGTTTTGGCATTTCTCAGGAAAAGTGAAGGAAACAGACGTGTTCACGTGTTTGGAAAAAAAAATCTACAATGTATGAACATCTTCAAGAATCAAAACACAAGATAAGTAAAGATAACCTGAAAATTCTACACATATGTAACAAATAGAAAAAATGAATATGTTGGAACCCATGAAAATTAACGAATCAATTAAAAACCAGAAATATATACCCCTAAACGAGCAATTTGATTTATGTAGGTCTCCACTCTTGAATTTAAAAATTTAACAACCCCTATAATCTTCAGTGTTGAATTTTAAAGTTGACACCCTGGTTCGTTCAACTACCTGTCCTTCATTTTACCTAAAAACTCCAGATATAACGGAGTTTTCAAATTTAACATTTTAGTTTTATACTTGATAATGGGGTTAAACCCGAAAACGGTAGTATAAATAAAATTAACTAGTGGTGATTAGACAAAAGTGTTTTTATTTTCATTAAAGTGATCATGAATTACCACAAAATTAACAAGTCATCAATCACATAACATACAGAACAGGTAGTGTTGGGAAAGAGTTAAAAATAATAAAGACAAAACATCCAAATTCGAGAAATCAGGAGTACATAAATTAAATCGTGGAACTTGTCCTTATGGTATGGTATTAGATACAGATATAAATTATAAACGTATATATTCAAAGAGAAAGTTGATAACTTTCAGGGGACTACTAATTACTGAAAATTGGGAAGATATGTATACAGCTAGTGATGTGAATGAATATTATAATGCTTTCCATACAACCCTTATAAATCATTACAATACGGCTTTTCCACTGAAAAAAATTAAAGGGAACAGAGAAATATCTGACAAACCATAGATAAACAGAGAAATCAAGGAATTACATCAAATGGTATGTGACCTTTGTAAGTTAGCTAGGAATACTATAAATGAAATTATAAAAAGTAGATATTAACAACTCAAATATATTTATGAAGCACTAATTAAAAAAAACCAAAGCAGAATACAACAAATGAATTTTTCCGGGAATTGAAAAAGTCAACCCCAATATTGATGAACTTAAGTTATCCCCCCTTTCCAATATTTCATTATTTCTGTATCCTACAACCTACATTGAAGTGCAAGATACAATTATGAAAACACCAACGCCTGGAATAGATGAAATTCATGGTAAAGCTTTAAGAACTGTGACATAATTTGCTATCCTATATGTCATATTCTTTAATATACAGTATCATTAGTAGTAATATCATTGTGTGGGGAAGAGTACAGGTACATACAAAATTTTCATATCACAAAAAAATCATAAGGTTAATATATGATTTGGACTATAGAGAAACATGCAGAAACACTTTCATTGAAAACAATATCCTGACACTAACATCTATCTATCTCTACAAATTATTAATATATACCCATCAGAATGCTAAAAATATGAACAGAAACAGTGACTACCATGAATATGATACCAGACAGGAGAATTACTTCAATTTGCACCACTTACAAAGAAAGCAACATATAAAGAGCCCACTATATGCTGGAGCACATTTGTTCATTCATTTGCCTGAAGACTTGAAACTCATTACCAATAATATTTAAATTGAGACTATACAGTCACCTAGCAAAGAATGCCTTTTATTCTGTGAACCTTCATCAAGTAACTGCCAAGTCAATCTAAAATATTTGTTATAGTTTTCATTTGTCCTAATTTCAGCAGGTTTGGTTGTATTTATAAAGCATCTGAAATCAGATGTTTATGTACTGGTGAACGAATTATCATCGTGATTTTACAAAATCTGAATTGATTAAAATTGACACTGAATATTTCGAAAGTTTTTGTTTTCGGCTTCAATTAAGGAGCCATTTTAAAGAACTTAAAGGGGAAAAATATGTGTGTATAATTTGAAAGAAAAAAGCACACAGTTTTTTGAAGCACGAATGATTTTACTCAAATCTCCTTAGGCAACAATATAATATATCACATTTTGTTATATCAATATATGAAAAAAAGTCAAGCTGAAAGTATGTCGACATTAGCTTCATAATCACATTACTCCATGAAGTCATGTATAGGAATCAGTTCAATTATTTCATTAAAGTTTCCCAGTCAGGATAGAGAGAGTATCTATTTTGGATCTGTCCTAAAACGGCTGCTACCATTTGGTTTTTGCTGTCAGCCTCTACAGAAACGACTTCCTGAAATATAAATAGTTTTCATGAAATTATTAAGTATAACTTAGAAAACTAAGATTATGACACAATTCAGTTGGAAAGGCTATAATAATCAGGAACAAGTACGACAATAAAACGGGCCTTTCAAATTAATTAAGAACTGTACTTGAACAATTATACTGGGTGATATTCACCTACATTCATAGATATCTCAAAAGGTTAGTGCTGAGAGGCCATAATCTTGAAATTCATGTCACTGAATAATTTAAAAAATGTAAGACATGTAAATAAATACAAACCCTGAAATAAAATGTTCAATTAAATTAAATCTATTTTTTTTAAACATTACCCTCTACTGCCCATATCAATGTCTAACTATTACTCAACAATAGTTGAGTAATATCTTATATCAGTTTGCGGAAAGTTTGATTAAACAACTCAATTTTTTTCTATAAGATTTACATTATGAACTAATCATTTATGATTCTGGGTTCGTATCACATAAAAGTATTTTTAGTGTTATTTAGTAATCAAAAGGTGAAATTATTAAATAAAGGTAAATAGGCAAATCAAAGATACGTATTTTGCTAGTTTCCTCTCATTAGTACGGTATAACCAAGCACAAGGACCTAAAACACTTAGTTGCACAAAACACACACAAGCAGAGACAGCAACTAAAAATTAACCTTTGAGTCAGTCAAAAGGCATCGTGTTTATAAGAATTCAACAAACCTTAAATTCACATGAAGAGTCAGTTTCTCGGATATTGGCAGGTAGCTCCGTGGTTATGTTGGTTGAATTTTTATGAACACAAGGTCTGCTGACTGTATCCATAATTTGAAATACAGATCTACAGGGCTATATTTTATGTTTCCTCCATAAAAATTCAAAGAGCAAAAATAAAAATCTTTCGTAACATCCTCGATCGAACAAAAACTTTTATCCCTTCGGCCACATTTTTTCACCCTCAACTCGCATTTTATGCATTATTTCGAAGATATTTTGACTTGAATTCAACTTGATGATTAAAAGTAATTATTTCTGACGATAACCAAAACAAGGTTTTTTAAAGTTTATGAAGTAGTAGGTATTGGTTTCAAATGATTTATGTGTGTATCACTCTTAACTCCATAACACCGTTCCTTTTCAGGCAGGCAACATTAGAATTTTCTCTTTTTCAACTAGTTCACTCATTTAACTTTTTTCTACTGATTCAAAGGAGATGTAATTCATTTAATATTTTTTAATGTTTATTATTTATACTCGTGTATCGTAACACGTATTGTTACAAGCAATATGTTTCATGACCAGTTATTTCATCCGGATTATCTGATCATGAAGCAGTGATATGTTCTATTCTGTTAAAATCAACAAAAAAACAAACCATACATAAGTATGGTAGATTGTTCAGTCATTCAAACTATGAATGACTACCTATCAAAACTGCCTTGAAATAGACTGGGTGAACATACTCTCTGAATGTGACCCCTTTTTATCATTCCACAGTGCATTGTCTGATGTGTTCAATAAGTCGTTTCCAGAACAAATAATTAAAAATAAATGTAAAAAGCCATGGGCTTGGGTGACGAAAGGACTGAAAACATCCTCTAGAAACCTGCGCTCACTGCATTATATCAGAAAATTCACGAATGAAACATTTTTCTGGAACTATTTCAATAATTACAAAAAAGTATATCGATCCACTATCAGTCTAGCTAAGAGAATATATTAGGGCAACAGAATGGGGGAATCGAAGAATAAAATTAAAGAAACTTAGTCAATTCCAGTATATGAAACTGTTTGATATTCTATTATGAAGAAATCCTCCCTTTGCACAGAAGGTATAAAGAAACACATTTAGAGCTATTAAGAATCTTTCATTTAGACTTTCTTGTAAACCCATATTTGAGGAACTAAATATTCTACCTTTGGCCTGCCTGTGCATAATGTCTGTGCATAATGGAAGTTGCCTTAATTAGGCCCCATTTCGATTACTGTCCTTCTTGGTTAGTTGTTTTAAGGAAACTTGTTCAGCTGCATGTCAAAAAATTCAGAATGATGCTTTTCTACTAAAATGTAACAGATAAACTTTCTTAAGGGAAATACTTCAAGTCCTTGAATAGCCATCTGTAAAAAACATTTTCAAAATAGCAACTGAAAAACTAGTACTTCGAACAACTCACTGTTTACACTAATAGAATTTATGATTACGTATACATAATATATAACTTTTGACTTTTAATAATTTTTCATGTGCATACTAGGTTTAGGAGTTACATAAAAAATATGTTTCACATTCTTTATAGAGAGGACCAAATCCTTGAAAATTCCAAATATGCCAAACTTTATTTCATCATCACTAATCATAAATTCCAACAGGGGAAACTGTATCATCATTGAAAATTCATATGGTCTGGATCTGGTTTGAATTGGATACTGATATAGCCTATGCATATGAAACAAAAAATATAATTGAGAATTTTGAACTTCCTGGAATAAACACTATAAACACTTCTTACTTATGAACTTCTAGCAATATACAAAGCTTTCTGCTACATAAGAACAGCAGCTGGGAAATCTTTCCTCAAAATTACTGGCTCCATGAACTCTCTACTTACTCTATCCAAAATACTATTACGGAATAGTTAAAATTACTCTGTTTCCAGTCGGTACCTCCACTCTGGGTTCCATCGCATATGACATAATTGGAAATGAATTACCCGACAAGTATGTTAAGGAATAGTGCAAGTTTCATCGAAATTGGGTCAATAGTTTTAAAGATATGAACTAATAAAAACAAGTGTGACGGCCTAACTTATTGATAGAAGCTACGTGTGAAGTGTGAAAGAGAAACATCTCAAAACCTTGGTCAATTGCTAATGCAAATAACAAAATCAAAATAGACAAAACCAAACTGGCCTCTAACAACAAATATATTAAACAAGTTATAGCCCTAGAGTAAAAGGTGCACCAAAATGAGATTTGATATAGGTGAAAGTGCAGGCATCAAAATACCGCTGACGAAGGTAAGGCCTCTCTAGATTGAGGAAAATGTGCCATGGTTTGTCACACTTTTGCCAGCTGAACTGGAAGATTACTCATCAAAAAGTAACCAGCCAGATTGATTTGGTAGAGTTTAATAGGTGTGATCCACAATTAACTTTCGCGGGTTGCAGGAAAGAGCCAAATAAACCTACTTACTTCAAACCTACCTACATACCTACAGCTTGTCAAATCTGGGAAGCGACTTCAAACTCTCAGCTTAGTACTTTCCCTAAGATGCACGTTCGTTTAGGAGACGGTGTGTGCGAGTTTTTTGTTTTTTTTAGTTTTTTGACAAGCTATAAGTAAATGTATGTGAAAAGGGGAGTTTTTGTATATTTGTTTCTTTCGTTCACTTCCTGCTTAAGTGAAATTGGCTTCAATCTGAATTTTAATATTTTTGGATTTCTGAGAAAATTCTAAATCAGAATGGTACATTTTGAACAGTTTTACTTACACCTACTCCATTTTTCACAAAATACTTTTTTTTAGGTTTTCACCAAAATTTCTATCAATTCAGTATACACCACCCTTGATTAGATTTATATTTACCTCTCTGTAAATGTCAACATCACTAGGTTCCAGATGGTATTTAATTCTTCCGATTTGCACTTCCACTTTCCCAGATTTCCTTATCAGAAGTTTTCCTATTTTACCTTCTATCATATCATTTAGACCATAATCAAACAACGTTTTACAATTTGGATCATCACTAAGACCTTTTCCAGAAAATGAATCTGGCAACTGAAAATGTTGACATCATTAATATACACCATCAACATATTGAACTAGCAACATTTCAAATATTAAACTGAATGATACTTACCCTCCATAGGGCCATTGAAGGATTGTCATTACTGGCACTATTTGCTCCTAAATATTCTTTGTGGTCATCCATCTGATAATCGCTACATTCCAATTTTACTATAAACAAAATAAATAGTTAATTTAATGAAAAAATGTGTTTAATGGGAGATTAATGGTCTCTACTGATCTAATAATAAGTATATTAAAACTATGAAACGTGAAGGAACGGATGAAAAGATACTCTGTAGGAAATGTGTATGCATATCATTTACAGATGTTTCTTTCTTATACAAACCAAAGGATATTTCTAATAGATACATTTACAATGCGGACATAAATATACTTCTCCCATCTTAACATCTAAACCGGACAAAATAACAAGGTTAACAACAATAATAATTCGTTTTAAGAATCTACAAATAATAAATAGAATGATTTCAAAACAAAAATGTATTCAAAACTCACTCCAGTTTATTCCAATAAATGCTTATCATTCACTTCCTGATAATAATGAAGACTGTTTACAATTTTATTTCATAGATCATGCAATTTTTCTGGGGAAATTTCGTTATAAGCACCTCTTTTTCTATTCAGGAGCTCTCAAATGAACTGTGGTTGTATACACACTTCAGATATCACTTATCCCTTCAAAATATCTATATGCGTCATATCATGTGATAGAGTGGGTCCTTCTGAAGACCTATCCACTAGTTTCGATAATTGACAAACCCATTTTCGAACCATGCTGGTTCAAAAGTGGCTAGATGACAATTAACCAAACTTTTGAATAAGCAAACATGACCTCTTGGAATGGCCTTCTAGATCACCTGATATGAAGTCTTAGATTTTTTGGAGATTCGTGAAATCTAAAGGATACTTTATACAACCACAGTCTATTCCAAATTTATGCTTGATGGACGTTCTATCTGTAGCTGTCTTGGACGAAACAGGATCGTATTAGTTTTTGATTCATTAAGAATCAATTTATTACTTTCAAACCAATGTTTGGTACCGCCAAATACATTACTTGCATTTTTCATAAGATCAGGAAAATTATCACCCCCGCATAATTTGTAATAAACTGATCTTCTTCAATACTGGTTGTACATAGATCATTCATGAAAATTATGAAAAATATTGGACCGATAATACTACCCTGTGGTATTCCGATATTTGATAATGATATTTCTGATTTATACATTTATACAGATTTATACATGATTCTTAATACACACTCTTTGAGTTCGTTCAGTGAGATAAGATTTAGCCCATTTCAGAGCATTCCCTCTAACACCATATCTCTCTAGTTTAACCATCAACAGGTTTCTATCCAAACAATCATAAGCCTTGGAAAGGTCCAAAAACATTCCCTAGGCTAGTGACTTTTTTCCATGAAATATAATATATTTTGAGTGAACTGAAAAATGGCCCGACATTGTTGACCTTCCTTGGATATACCCATGTTGATTTTTACTAAACATGTTGCATTTATTGAAGAAGTCAATTAATTGTGTAGAATTCAAATATTTTCGCAAAACTTGGTGGTCTACTTATGGGTCTGTAATTTTCCATCACTTCCACATCACCCTTTTTGTAAATAGGTTTCACCAAAGACAGCTTCTGTTGTTTAGGAAATATCCCAAATTTCTAAGAGTTGTTTATGATATAAGCTAGAACTTCTTTTATGTAAACCATATTCTCTTTCATTAGTGAAGTAGGTATTTCATCATCTCCATTACTTCTTTGTTTATTTTTTGTCCTAATTCTATGATATGATTTGGTGTAACTTTTTTTAAGTATAGCGACTTATAATTTTCTGTAATATTATTGAAAGATGGAACATCAGGAATATCTTTCATCATTTGGGGTACAATGTTCAATAAATATTTATTGTATTAAACTGTGATTACTTCAGGTTTCCCTTTAATTTTACACTCTGAATTGTTGTTTTTCCCTGTCAATTCTTTACATATACTCCACATGCAATTTGTCTTGTTATCAGACTCCTGAATTTAATTGTGATACAAGTCTTTTTTTGCTTTTATTAAAAGATTGTTACATTAAATTTTTGCTTCATCATACTGCTCTTTGAAAACTAGGACATTTCTCGAGAGAATTAGTAAAATATCTAATCTATGTTTATACTTAAGTACTTCATCATTTACCATGGTTTTCTTATAGATTCTTATAGATAGAATAAGAAGTGATCTTAATGAAATTATTCAAAAACCATTTCATAAAGTGAAAAATAATTTTGCAAACATTATTTCAAGGCAGTGAATGGTGAATATTTCAAACATTTATTGGGGTAAACTGGAATTTAAAAAAAAAATCTTTTTTTCCGTAAACCAGCTGTTGCACCCCTATGAACGACAACTCTAAAAAGTCGAAACTAACAAGGTCTTACCTTTTAAAGTGGGATTCATGTGTGATATTTATACAAAAATTCAAAAACAAAACTGTGCTGGATTAAGAACCGAAATACCTATCAAATGAGGTATCACAAAAACCCTTTTCCATTCGTAAAGAAGTTGGAAGCATCCTTTGGAGATAAGTGATGCAACTCTATCATCTTTCTTAACAAAAAGTACTAATCTTTTTACGTAAATTTTGTCTGACCTTGATATTTTCCCGTTCAAAAGTTGTGGGGGGAAGCGATGATTCAGGTCCGCACTGTTTGAGGAAAAAAATGAACAATATGAACCATTGGCTTCTAGCACTTAAGAATATAATTAAAATCGAGGTTTTACATAACAGAATAGAATAAAGCTTCATTGCAAAAAATTTGAAATCACAGTGAAAGATAGATATCAACGTGACCCAGATTAAAGAAAACAGTGTCAACAAATAGTAGTTCCTCAACAGACATAAAGTTACTCATACAATTAAAATCTTGCAAGTGTAAGTGAAGACGAAATCAGAAATAGCCAAATTTTACAAAAATAAATCATAATACATAAAATTGGAATCAAGTTCTTGAAAACTAGGCACACATAAGTTCAACTTACTTATACCCCTTGGGTTATTCAAGCAGTGAGCATAAGCAGTGAAAGATTTATGCTTAAGTACTGAAGACTTACCACTATTGAAATCCTGCATTACATTTGAGAAGTCAAAATGTTCCTCCTTTTTTATTTCTTGTTTAACTGGCACTAAAATCAAATTAAATGAGATATGATAACTACTTCACATATTGCTTTCTTACTAATTTGTTTAGTTTGCCATGGAACTGGATGGAAAGGAAGTTTTTCATCTTTACTATCTTCATCGCAACCTATGATGTCATCTAATACATTGTCTTCTGTTCTTTTGTCTATCTGAGATATATTGAACATATAATTTCAAACAATGGCAAGTAAAATAATGTTACCTGATAGGAGTGTTTTTTGAAAGTTGGCATGGTCATAGAAGGTAGGCCACTACTCCCATCATTATCACCTCGGGTCCATCGACTAGTTCGAATAATATCACCTCCAGCTCCCTCCGAAAATATTCCAGACGACTGAATAATATTCTGCTCTTTGAATTTAATTGGTTTCCTATCATTGTTTCTTTCTTTGTGTTTGTGCTCATTTTTCTTCAAGATCCTGAAACTGGAATGAGAATCATATATTCATAAATTGTACAGAACTTACTCCTTAGGTTTATCTTTATTTCTGGTGGCGTTCAGGTTTGGTGCAAACTGTCTTTTTGGCAATTTTGGTCCTCCAAGACTAAGGTCAGGAGGTAATCTCACTGACTGCAACCTTTTACCAATCTCAGAGTCTCCTTTTATCAATTTCTTTAAATTTACATTATTACGTTTTATTCCCAAATTCATTTTTATATTCGAATGATGAAATACAATATGAATAATGTCAATTCCAGGTTAAGTTTTAGGGCATGCTTCTTTGAAATTAAAACTATCCACGTGCTACAAAATTCAAATTTTCTGAACGACACAGAACAGAAACAAGCTTCCTGATAGACAGATCCTGTGCCATGTTGCTACCCTGGTTGCCAGATATCCTCTTGCAGTTGTACCACCATGGAGAAAAGAAATGGTGCATAGCAGGGTTCCGATATAAGCACCCTGATGCGTAGGGCAGATTTTTTTAAATCCATAAATGAAATCCATCGTCAAAAGGTATTGTAAGGAGACTTGCAAAGTAATTATGAGGTATAATTATCAAAAAGAAAAACGTGAAAACGCGTGACTGTACAATAATAATTCTTTTAACAAATTGAGTACGTTTCAAACCTATCTTGATTCAAAGAATGCATTGAAATAAGAACTATTATTTGAACAAGCCAATATCTGAAAAAATATTTACGTTAGGTATACGTAACCCCAAAATGAAATTAAAAATGGAATGACAAAGGTACCTTTGTCCAAAATTATAAAAAAAATTACTATAATAAAGCTCCGAGTGCCCGCCAGCATAATCAACCAATGACAATTCTTCACACCATGACGCAATGAGCCAAGAGTGATAGCCTTTTGCATTTGTCCGGCCAAGATTTCTGCCTTCGTGTGGAAAGCCGTCATGATAATGAGATTCGAGAGTAGAGAGGGCATCATTACACAAAGGACTCCAATAATAAGAACAATATCATTCTGATAGAATCCACGGAGTTCGAAGAGAAAATCTCGATTTTTTATATGTTTTTCCTCCTCTTTTTGAATGATATTCGTCTCGCCACGTCAGGAGCTGAAAACTCAAGTCAAGTCAAGTCAAGTCAAAAATGTTTATTAGCTTTCAAGATTGATTACAAAATATTGTGAATGTGTTTTGTGTGGAGCCTTGCTATAGGCTTATGCCTCTTCAGGGTGCTGAAAACTCTACGACAAATATTATCTTGCTCAGATGGCCCAGAAGGACTACAACAGGCTTATTGGCTTTTATGAGCCTGAGAGTGGGGGACGAATAGTTCCAATAAATTCGGTATTTCTCGTTCCCTACAACGGATTCAATATTCCCCCGAAGCGTGGGGCAAAATATGTATCTCGTCAATACCATAAGAGTGCCGTAGGTGATAATAAAGCACTCTTAGGGCCGTGTTATGTCGATGGATATAGACTCAGACCGCATATGCTGGACATGCTGACGAACGAAGTGCATTAGGGTATCAGACGCCTCGCGGCAGGCCCTGCACCTTGTGTCCATTATTATTATCATTATAATAAATTATACTGCTCCAAAACGAAAAGGCAACGCAATACAGTTTTTACAACTCTCCAAATTGCAATTCCTCCTATTTTATTTGATTTTGCAATAAGGATGTAATCTTTCAAACGTAGTTACAAGGATTGTTACTCTTCTAATATAAGTAGTACTTCACTTAATTTTTCGAAAGCTTCTAATGGTAGGGTACTTTCATTGAGTTCAACAAAAACACCAAAACAGATTTTAGCAGCGATAAAACGTTTCTTCCCAACAGCGACGAAACTGAAAGTCATGAATTTCATGACTGAAAGTCATGAAATTAACATCTGGGTGTAATTATCCTTGAATCACACGTGACCCTCAGAGCCTAGTTATGCACCATTCTGACAATTTCAATCACTGTAACTATCCTAATCAAAGTGAACCAATGGAATCAAATATTCAAATACGATTGTTATTAAATATCAAAATTCTGCATAAATATGTTTCTACAGAAATTCACAGTTTTAATTTGATATTATGATTATGACAGTATCTAGACCCTAACTCTACCGAGACGACTAAATAAATATTAAAAAGAGACCAAAAGTAAATGCGAATTGCAACACTTCACAGTAATTCACACAACCTTATGAAAATGAGACAACAGTCCATCATTTCAAATGCCATCTTGATAACTTCATCGAAACTTATTAGCATCATGAGACACTTGATTCGAAATGTAAACATTATTCTGAATAGTAGCCATTTAATTTAAATCGAAAAAAATACGCGACATATAGTTAAAGCATCTAGCCACGTCACTTGCCACGTCACTGTGGTCTCATGTCAAGGCACGATTGATTTTAAGAATGTTGAAAAATACGAGTGTAGTAATTTTTGTATTCGTTTTTCAAGTAATAAAATTGATTTCATTTGATAATTGATATTTTGTTCTTATATCGATGCGTTCAGATGAGAATATTTCAGGAAATAGTATTTTAGAAGGCCATTCGACCTACAAATTTTCTCGGATGAATATTTTTTTATTAAAACAAAACGTCCCATGGACTAGTCGTTTTATAATACTGTTTGCTGTCATGGTATTGCTAAATAGTACCTACAGTTTTCCTAAAAAAATGGAAATTTATCCATGAAATTTTGAGGTACTGTGTTATTACTTTCGATAACTTCTTTAATTTTCACTGTTGGATTGTAGCGTTTTATTTTCTTGCGTGACCACGGTTTAGGAAAACCTTGACGACAATATAGATGTACACTGTGTATACGTCTGATATGATAAAAAAATCAAAGTAGATCTCTTTCAATCTATGAATTTCGCTCAATCCAGTTAAGGTTCCTACACTGATGGATTATATTTCAGTTCTCATCGGTACACAAAAAATGGCATACCTACCACTTCAGTTATTCGAATTTAGGAAAGAATCCAATCATCCTATCCTCTGAAATTATTTTTCGATCATCGAACAGTTACCAAGGTGATGCAATATCTGTTTGAAGGCGCTATTAGCCAATTTACCTCAGCAAATTGCCTTTTATTCAAATTTTTAATTGGATTTGAATTGCTGTATGGTTCTCGCACCTATACATCACTTTGTAGAACCATTCTTGTTACAATCAGTAACCATTTTTGTAGAATAAGTTTTCCAAACAGAGATCTGAAGAATATAATCTGAAGGGAACATTTTCCAAAAAGTTCATAATCCAAACTGTATCATATTACCTGCTGTTTTACCCCTGAGGACGTAACCCTGGATTCCGGATCTCACCCTCCGTGGTATATAAAGGCCAGACTTTCAAACATTTTTGTTTTTGATATTAGAATACGTCTGCTTTTGGTTTATTATAAATTTTCCTTAAAAACTATTGATCACATTATTAGTGAACATTTTAAGGTAAAATCCCATGCCACAAAATTTTATTTTGATAATGTATTATGAAAGTTTCGTTTAACGGTAACAGAGAAAAACATTTCGACAAATTTTGTTAGGCTGAACATAGTACTATGCGCATGCCAATTTAAACACCGAAAATTAGTTTTTTATTCACATTTTAATTTGAATGGTCAAATAATTAAATGTTTTTTATCTTCAGGTATTGTTCATTTCTCAACAAGGTTGGAATAATATTCTACGTGGCATCTGGAGATATTTGTCTTATAACTATAGTCTATTTCAAAAGAGTGTAGAGTAATAAAATCTCATTGAGTATTCAAAAGCGCTACAGGGTGATCCGTCAATAAATTCTGTCACTTCCCTAGTCCGCATTGCAAAATTATGTCGTTTCATAAGGAGCAGGTAGGTATCACCCTGTTTTAAGGGATTTGTCCATTGTTATCGACGGATAAATACTGAGCCAGAGGCGCGCTAGTGGGATAATTGCCAAAAGAATATGCATTCATAAAAATTATATTAAAGGAAATAAAAATTTAATACAGCAGAACAGTGTTATTAAAAAAATATAAAATGTAACAATAAAATATATACGAACCGAAATCGGGAAATACTCACAAACACACACGAACGAACTTTACGTATTGAAACACTTGTGGGGACTTTAAATCAATTTATTCACAAAAACGACAAGAACTTTACTGGATACGTTATTACAATTTGACACTTGAACAATACTAAAACTGTGAACTTCCCTNGTTTAATAGGTATTGCATGATTGGTGGGCAGGGTCAAAAAGGGATTATTATAATGACATGGCACCTCGGAACTAAGTGTTAACCCTTTTTTGAGAAATCATGCTCAAGTATATGAACCCAAATTGCATATTAAATAAGTTTACAAGAACCACTAAAATTAATCTTAATCTTTTTTTAAGAAATTTTACTTACCTAAATACATGTAGGTACTTAGTTTTAGACCAAATTACTTCCCAAAAATGGCCTTTTATTATTATCTATGTCTGTAATTTTTAATTTACTTTAATTATTAAGTTTAATAATCCTAAGATTTGCCTACGCCCATGGACGACAACGAAATTCAGGCAAATTTTATGACACTTCATGATTTATTACTCTACACTCTTTTGAAATAGACTATAATTAGTCAAATTATGTTCTCCGTGTTTGACATAATTCTAAATACTATAATAACAAAACCCGGTGGCGCCCATTTCAATATCTGTAATTAAAAGTTCCCTCCTAATTTACGACCCAGACGAAGAGCACCGTGCAAGTGAACCCAAAAAAAGGGTTACAGGATCCATTGTATATTACCCACGTATTATGATCTGAGATAACGTGATTAATCTTAAGAAAGGGTTGTGCTGACACTGCTTTTATTTTCTGATCTCATTGCAAAGTTTCTATCATTTTGCGATTATTGCGCGCCAAATCTATGGCAGCTTACCGGGCACTTGCCCGGTGCTGGTCCAGTCCGCCGCTGTATCCATGATTGCATGCAATCCTGATTTGATTCATCATTCAGGAATATTAACTTTGGAATAGATCGAACAGGAGTTGATGATGCCAATGTAAAGAAAGATGGATGAACCTGTGAGTTATTGACGAACGAAATAGCTGCTAATTAGTTTATTTGCTACTTCATCTCCTCCCCTCGTTTCTGTTGTCCTGATTAAAGAGCCACGCTTACGGTTCAAATTCATTTTCGCTCGTCTGCCCTCAGAGGGGTTGGGTATGAGTACAAGTGGGCGAATAAAACTGAGGGAACTGAATTGAATAGCATAATGCGTTCCATGATTTTCTAACATCATCCTCATATACGTCCTTTTAAAAGTTCTTATGGGAAAATGTTTAGTAATTGAATGCGCGCGGAAAACTTATGTCTAGCCAGAATGATGAATTTGGCAAAAAATATTTCGTATCGCAACGAGGCGTCGGGATATAGGAAGCCTCACGGCGCCGGCGTCGGTTTGTTGCAACATTGACGTTTGTCGAAGATGCCACAGTAAAAGAATCCAACTCCTGTGTCTGTTACACGCCTCCAGAAATTATGCCAGAATCTGTAGTAATGTGCCTGAAATACTCGCATTTTCAAATAACCATTGAACGTTAATAAGACAAAATGTCAGGTATTGAATAGAGAGGATACAAAATATAAGGTAAGATATCATATATATTTCCTTTCCTTTTTTTGAAATCTTGATGGACCTAATATTTTTTATGACTCTGATTATCAATTCAGGTTTGTAAGATTAAGTGAATTCATTTTTAGAGATTGAAAAATGTTTGGGAGTAAACTACGATCGTGGATGGAAGCTGTGAGATCCAGAAAAAAACAGCACAGGAAGGAAAAACAAGCAAAATGTAACAATTTGATATTTGGACACAAAAATACTGTCAAATGGGACACGAATATGACTTTGCATGGTGATTATAAAGTAAGTATTATTATTATTATTATAACTAACTAAATTCCTAATTTGATACATTCCATCCAGTCACTGTCTTTGTGTGGCCTCCTGCCGTCAACAAGTTGATGATATCGTATTATTCATTGAGCANGAAATAACCGCCATTTGAATCAGTGCACTTTTGCCGATGTAACACAAGTTGATCAATTTCGTCAGCATGAAAATTATGTGCTTGGGAAGGCGTAGGTGGTTTTTGCTTGGTCCTGATTGGCGAAGGTTCTACCCTTGAGAAAGTTATAGAAGTGCTTAAAATGATGGTAGTCGGTTGGCGAGAGGTCTGGAGAGTATGGTGGGTGAGGCAGAACTTAGACCAATTCGTTTAATTTTGGGACGGTGATTTATGAAACGGGCGGAAGGACGTTGTCGTGAAGCAGGATCGCACCCCTTCTGTTGACCAGTGCCGGTTGCTGCTGACACAAGTTTTGGTACATTTCGTCGATTTCCTCGCAATAGGACTCTTCTGTGAAGGTTTGGTTGCGGAAAGTTATAGTGAATCACAGCAGCTGCTGAATACCATGATCTTTTTTTGGTGGATTTTCGCCTTTGGGAAGTGCCTGGGTGGCTTATCGGTGTCGAACCACTGTCTTGAACATCCCCTGCCTGCACAAAAGCAATGAAAAACTTACCTCGAAATGCGATAGTTCATGGAGCACCCACTTTTCGAGCTTTTTGACCTTTCTAATACGTTTTAAACCATCAACATGGGAGCCGACGCCCAGTTCTCCCGCCATTACTGTAGGTCGTAGGTCGACCACTTTGGGCCTCATCTTCGAGGCTAAAAAAAATAATAAAAAAAATGAATAATAGAAGAGTTATAACAATAACAATACGAAGTGAAAATATGTTTTTGAAAACATAGAGGAGGAGGACCAGACCAATCAAAATAATAGAGGTACGGGGCACGATTAGCATTCACTGGTTCAATTGAGTTTTCTGAATGCCTGATCGGGTAGTGATAATAAATCAATGACTTTGTTCCTATAGAGAGGTGCAATACCTCCGTATCGAGAAATAGACAGGTATTGTGAAAGAATTCATTCTTGAATAGAACTGGCCGATATACTTGATGAAAATCCATATTTAAAAACTAATTGATACAGTTTATTGTATGATTTTCACTATGAAGGGTTTTACAAAAACCGCGACACGTGTTTCGCTATACAATAGCTTCCTCAAAAATTCATTCTAATGTATACCTGATGTTCTTCCGATCTTCTAAGAATATCTAGTTACTACCCTTTTCATTTATTCATGAATGTATATTGTTGCTAGATACCTGACCCGGTATTTTACATTTACAATTCACAAAAAATAGACTAACAATACACTTGCGTTGGATTTTATAGAAGTGAGGGCATTGTGACTGGTTCTTTTGATGATGAACTTTTATTTTCTCTCAAGGTGACATTGCTGAAACGATCAAATAGTTCTAGTTCATTTGTACCAGCGACGTTCAAGAAGGAATCATTAGTTGAATCTGCGTTACCTGAGTTGACTGGTAGTTCAGAACTTGTGGATGAGGAAACATTTATATCCCAATTTGATAGATTTTTTCATACGCTTTTGCTATACAGGCGCTTCCTATTTTCGAATTTGAATAAAACAAAGTGTGTGTGTGTGAGATATCATCAAAATTTTGTATTCGTTCGAAAGACCTATTGACGCCATTATGTGTGGAACATAACATCGTTGAAATATCCGCAACGTACACTTTTCCATGACTAGCGAATAAATCAGGCTGAATTTGTCCGATGGCATTGGATACGTTGGCTTTGAGGACCGCTGTGGTTTGTGGCTTATTCGCATACAACCAGTGGTGGATTTACCAGCAGGCTGAGTAGGCTTGAGCCTAGGGCGGCGGATTTTAGGGTGTGGCAAATTTGTCCCAAAACATTTTTTTTTGTCTTACAGAAATAAAAAATAAATAAATATCTGAATGTTATTAGATTTCACCACTTAACTGAACCTGCCAAAGTGGTGAATTTGACGTTTGTCAATCTGCTATAATCTGTTCAGAAATGAGAGAGACTACAGCAGGTTCAGAATGAGTGTAATCAGTTCCTAATTTTTCATAAGATATGAATTTTTTTAAAAACAAAGACCCATTTTTTAATCTTTCAATTCTAAAATATTTTCGTCCACCGTCGTTTGTCCGTGCAGGATATCGAAATGCAGAGGTGAGAAAGGGGCGGCAAAATTTGAATAGCCTACTGGCGGCAAATGAGTTAATCCGCCACTGCATACACCTACGACTTGGGAAAACCCCACAAGAAAAAGTGTAACGGGTCAAATTGCACCACATTGCGAATAGTCTTCTCGGTAGGACGATTATGGTGACCATAAAATGGACGAAGCGCGCGGTACGTTGTCGAACAGAACACCAATTTTGATAAAATCATTTTATTATTTGCACGTTTTGTTGAATACTATATCCGTCCAAACAAAACAGACTGAATAAATGACAACTAATTTGACAGATGTAGCTTCAATAAGAAGGCCGTTATCAATTATCAAAGTTTGGAAGTGCCTGTTGGAAGACTCTATATAAATAAGCCTGTCCTAACATAATATTGCCAGTCAACTAAAGGTTTTGATTTCTTATACCTGACTAATGTCCTGGTTGCTCTGTGGTAATCGAAGGAGAAATAATATTTTTAGAGGAAAAAAGAATTGTATGTTCAGTGTAAATCCATTTTCGTAACCCCGTTTCCGGTGTTTAAAATTATAACTCGATTTCCGCTCAAATTTGTGTCGAGGTAGATTTGTGTGAAGCGATCTCCACATGACATTATGCAATGTGTTTGAATTTGAGGGTATGATTTTTGAAGTTGAAATCTTGATTTCATTGAACTTAGTGAGTACTCATATGAAACTATTTGTTTCCAATCTCAGTTGCGTTAATTTTGAAATTCGATTGCAAAATGTACTTAGGTATTAGTCATGCCTCAGTAACATTAGTGAATAAAATATTCATAGGAATGTAGGCTTTCACAGCTGGGATCACTGTTTTGGTTGGTTTCCGGATTTTGCCGGTCTTCTTTGGTTATAATCTCCAAACGTTTCAACTGCAACTGCGACAGTTATCTTGAATGGCGTGGTCGAAGTACTCTTCTTGACGTGTCAACTGGAACTGAAGCTCTCGACCAAGCGTCTTCATTTCATTCGGGTTGGAGCCCAGCTCCCTTACCCTTTTAGCTGATTTTTGTCAAAGAAGGACAAATGGGTTCATGACTGAGGAGATATTAGCGGTATGAAGTTCTCAGACATCAGTACCGCCCTTCACGGGGTACGCCTACCTGGCTGGGGTGGGATGGATGAAAAATCTATTCGTCCGTTAACGGGGGACATGAGGTCCTCATTCGACAGAGTGTAGGGGCCTTCTATATCGGGAGGGGTCGTCTACAGCATAATCTATATCTTCACGAACCAACGGGTTTTCGTGAGTTTCCGCACTATCAAAAACTCGCCGATTCCTCGACTGAATGGACTGCTGAATGGAAGGCAGCTGCAAATCTCTGCGGATGGCTTCATTTCACACGAACCACGGAGCATTCACAATCATTCGTATCAACTTATTTTGTAATCTCTCCAGGATGGAGATGTTAGACGGAGCCGCTTGTCCCCAGACGCCTGAAGCATACATGATGACAGGCTTGAACATTGTGTTGTAGATGGTAATTGTGTTCTTGAGGCTCATTTTTGATTTTCTATCGATCAGAGGGTACAGACTAGCTATTCGACACTCGATCTTTGATTTAACACACATGCTGTGCGGGTTTCAAGTGAGACTACGGTCTATTAGAAGGCCGAGGTACTTTACCCGCGCTTGCCAGTCAATCTCCCTTCCAGAGATTCTCACGTTTCTGGCCGGAGAAGATAGCAATCTTCCCATGGTTATCGCCTGAGTCTTGTTCGGGTTCACTCGGATGTTCCAATCGAGGTACCAGCGCTCGAGGTCGTCCAATGCACGTTGCATGCAGACGACGCCGAGCTCCCGACCCATGGAAGTATAGGGATATCTTCACAGGCTTAGGCCTCGAAAGGTCGCTGGTGTAAATTGACTACATCGTGGGAGAGAGCACGGCCCACTGTGGCACTCCAGCAAAGATTTCTCTGTTGTCAGACAGAGAGCCCTCTATTCTAACCTGAAATGTTCTGCCTTCCAGGAAAGGCCCAATCCACCGGATCAGGCCCCGAAGCAGGTCGAACGCGATTAGTTTGTGCAGAAGACCTTCGTGCCATATACGGTCGAAGGCCTTCGAGATGTCTAGCAAAACAATGTGCACTTTTTCGTTAGTGTTCAGTTCATGGATGGTGTTTTCGACCAGCCTTAGAGACTGTAACTCAGTGGAATGTTCTCTCCTGAAGCCAAATTGTTCATTAGGCCGAACATTTCGGTCCTCAACTTCTTCGTTGAGTCTTTGCAGAACGATTCTTTCAGCCAGCTTAGCCGCCGGCGAGAGCAGACTGATCGGGCGATAATTCTGTGGGAAAAGCAGGTTCTGACCCTGTTTTGGGATCATGATGACGATCGCATGCTTCCACCTTCTGGGGAAGTATCTGAGGGCCAACAAACTGTTTATAATGTTCATTTTTGCCGTGTCATTTATAGTGCTGATTTTTCGTGCACTTTCTGTAATGGCGGATTTGCGCATACTTCCCGCGCGATTTGGGTGACTTGGCTTCGTTTTGGCGCCTTTCAATGCTGTGTGCCAGATCTTTGGTGTAGATATGTTCTCTCTTCCTTTCTTCCGAAAGAACTTCAACAGTTCGTTGCATATCCGATATCATAGACTGAGGAGTCTAGTGTTTCTCAAAATGAATTTGTTAACGGTCATAGAATAGATGAACATTGTTATTGATTATTGAAACCGCTATATGACACCAAACTTCTGGATGCTTTCGAAAGTACGAGCAAGGTACAAAGTGTGGCACGAGATCTACACACAGTGATAAAGGATATTCACGTTAAGAAGAGAATGACGTCTCAAGATGACAAGTTACGGCGTTGCCAACATGTGCACTTTTTCGAACTTTCAAATTTTTTTTGTACTGTTGATTTGTTTTATTGCTATTAACCTTACTTACTAATAATTTATTTAGTTCAAATACAACTGTGTTGAGACTGTTTCGACAATGCTTTAGGCATATTGAATATACGCAGGTCTTATCAAAAGAAATGATTAGTTCTGAGAAGAGAGCAAAGACTGACAGTTTTCAAGTTTTTTTTCGATTCGGCAACGTCTGAAATTTTACTATCAATTGAGCAACTTACAAAATGAAATTTTACTAGTTTCATTGCTATTGAACCCACTTCATTGGGAATTTTGAAGTTGTTATGTTGGATATACAAAAAATACCAAAAATGACGTCATTCTCTTCTTAACATGAATATCCTATAAAAGTCCAATTCTAAAACGGCCACTGTCTACTCTTTTACAAACCATCAACTGAAACAAATTTGAAAGCTTCTTCACCTGCACTTTTTTTTATCTTGAACGATTTGAAAACAAGAATTGAACTATATTTATTTCATCTAAATTTTGGAATCAATCAGCCATATATTGTTTAGAAAAATGACCACTGATATTTTCCGATTCCGGAGAGGGAGCCTGAAAATCAGCCAAGCCCAAGGCAGCAGGGGCGCAAAGGAGAGTTACAAATAAGGCGGCAGGCGCGCGTGTTGAAAAAATACTTTTTTCAAGTGAAGAAATACATATAAAGTCAGTTTGAATTATATCAAGGATGTTACGTACAGCGCTATCTGCCCGCGAATAGATCAAGCAATAACGTCGATAATTCTGTCAAATACAGATCCCAAGTTCGAGAGTTACAAACAAACAAACAAACATACAGGTGAAGCTAATAAAAGCGTGGTACAATTTTAATAAAAACCACTTTGTCCATCAACATATTGAGAAATAAATGAGTTAGTTAATTACAGAATTTACTCAAAACGTGTTTCAGGTATTTGTCAGACTCGTGTTGAAGTTTTGAATACAGTCCATCACACTCATAATTCTTCAAAACCTGCAAGTGTTGTTTCGTCACCTTTACTGCAAAATCCGGCTCAAATTTTCAAAGAGCATGTTATAGCTGTGACATCTGTACCTAAGGTAAGGATATGTTCTTAGTTCTTACGATAGATATCCATATATTCTTGACTGGTTGTGAAGACAAAAGTAGAAATTGTCACAAATATCACTGTTCATAATTTAGTTAATAAACGTGTTATCCAAAAATGGGCTGATATGTTTTTTCTCAACAGAACAAACTGTTAGTAATTTTTTTAAATTATGCATGCAACAAAATACCATTGAATGCGAATGTCGAAGTTTTCAATAAGTTTTTGTTCGAGTTACAAATAATTCATTTCTGTTATTTCAATAATTTATAAATGATTTCAAGACTACCAACACCAAAAGATAAAAAGGGAAAGCCTCCATTAAAACTTTCCATTTGCTTTCATCTATACTTATTATTTTTTCAAGAGGTCACTTTTTATTGGTGTTATGAATAGAACTGGTTAGTAAGCACAATAGCCTTATTTATTAGGCTTTTCTTCATTTCTGTTTCGTGGACATCATGACGTTTTTAACTCCCCAGTACTTCATCGTATTTTTCATAAAATTTTCAGTTTCAAGTTTTTTTTTGGTCTGATCCGGTAGGTAAGCTTTACATGTCTATAACAACAACTCCTTCTGGGTCAGGTGTCACCCGTGGAGGTGAGAGTCCTCCTACTTAAACGGACCCTAGTCCTAATGTGTGTGTATTCTTATTGGAAACTTGTATCAGGAGAGAAAACAGACTGTCATTGAGCAGGTCAACAAGCGATCATTCGTGGCTGAATCCAATGTATCTTCAGGTATAGCTGACCAAGTACATGTATATGTACAGTCTACGTGTACAATTCTTGAGCAGATCATTCCAGGCTGGATTGCTACAAGTTACCTAAGAAGATCAGGAAAGCGTCTCCCGATTGATGGTACCAGTCTCTATGGAAGGGTGTCTTCCTATAGAGCTTCACAGGAGACCTTTCTCAAGCCACATATTTCTGTTGCTTACCCATACGGAGCAGACTAATAACCGATCAAGTTCTCACTGTACTGAGGAAAATGGACAGTTTGTCAACTTTGGAGTGTATAAAGGAATTTCAGGACCTCATAGCAGAGTGCATCTTCTGTACCTGCTCCGCCGCGGAAAATCAGTTTTCACATTTTGGTCCCACTCTTGCCAGCTGACCTGCAAGATCACCCGCCAAATAAAGTGATCGGCTTCGATGAGGAGCTCGATTTATATGGTTGAGTTTGACTAGGTGCGAGCCTAAATGAAGCCTCGCGGGTTTCAGTAGAGTATCGAATAGTTTCTATCACTTTGGACTCACCTACCTACCTACTACTGTTGTTAGACAAGTTAGGGTCATTTTGAAATGAGCCAGAGGAATTATTGGAGAGATAACGCTGTTTCGTTTCGGATTCCAAATCTGAAGATCTGTCCTCTCAAGATTTTTTTTCTGGTCAGTTCATAGACGATACTGTCCCTGAAATGAGTCTACATAAATCGACCTTTTCAGTGCAATTATGAGGGGTAGATTTTTTGTTGCTGCTTTGGAGTCTATAACTTGTTCATTTCCTCCAAGTCCCCAAAAAACCTCATTCTTACAACCTTGTTTCCTATACAAGTTTGTGCAGATTCTTTGTTGAATGTTTGCAATATTCTCCCGAACATAAGTTGGGTTGGTCATAAATTCTGTTATCCAGTGCCCCACATTTACATAAAACATGACGACCTGTGTCCTTTTGTGCATTACCAAATGGACACTGTCCAGTGAGCCGATCCTAGCTTTCTTGGAGCCGTTTTTGAGTTCTTTGTTTGGTCTTGGTGATAAATACTCATTATTTGGTCATTGAATGGTCATTATTCAAACCCAGACTCACTGATCCTTTCCAAAAAGTTATATCTAATGTAAGACTTCAAATATCACCACATCCATGGCGATAACCTCAATAAAAACGCATAGATGTTTATTTTATCTCTTCATTTATAATTTAACAATCCCTGTTAACAAGTTTTTATGAGAAGGCGATATCAGGACCAAATTCAATTAGTAACTATCGATATCGGTATCAGCATGATTCACATAAGCCTGTTTATCTGAATGCATGCCATTAAAGTTTTCCTCGATACTCAAATGGATTTGAATTCAACTATATTTTTTATCAAAGCAAATATCCAATGGAACCAGTAGTTTCTGCATGACTTGTATATAATTTTCGGTTTCTGTGTTCATGTGTATGATACTCACATACTTACAATGAACGGGAATGCTAGCAGCAACGGGAATTCGAAGAACCGAAACATGTGTCTGCGGCAGCTAGAATCAATGAAACTGTTGTGGGATCCCTCAGCCCAGCTCTTGGAGTAACCTCACCAAGGCAGAGGAATAGAATCAGAACTAACCCATGGTTACCGGGTGGTGCTTTGAGTCCAAGTCCTGTCAAACATGAAGTCAAGACTGATTCTGGTACTAAATCTACCACGGAAAGCTCGTAAGTGAAAATTATTATTAACGATTATATATTTTTCAAATTACCATAAAATTATTGAGTGACACTTGACATGTTGACTAGTATTTCGTAATGAAAAGTGGCCCAGTAGAAACGAAATAGAGCCGTTTTCAGGAACTCCATCAGGCTTTAGAAAAACGCACTTAAAACACGTCGATTTTTTATTTTATTGAAGGAGGATACTATTTTTCAGTTTTTGTGACTCCACCACATGCATTCGCAAGTGAGGATAAGAATCACTTTAAAATGTTTCAGTGTCATCGGGGGTCGAGTGAGATGACGGGCTAAAGTCCTTCAAATTCTTGATTTCAAAAATTTTGTCTGATAGAGTTGAGCTTTGGGCTTCCAATCAACACATCTCAGTAAATTGAAGAATCTAGTCAAAGAGGGTCCATATATTATGATCGTTTTAATAAACCACTGAACCATTATTGAACGATTATTTATCTTTTTTAAAACTTTCAATTTTGAAACATTTAATTAGAATAAAACTGAATTGAAAGTGCTACGATATGCAAAATTTCCACATATCAAATTAAAACCAGTTAAATGTTCTTTTTTGCAATTTTTCAATGCAATACCATTTTGAATGAAAACCTACGTTTTCAGACGGTTTTTCACGAATAACTTAAAAAGTAGGTTTTTTATAAAAAAAAATCATGCTCAGTAAAAATGTAACACAAATAAACTGAACGAATTATGATGTCTGTAGATCCAAAACAAACGAAGCAATAGCTTGTTGAAGGTTGGTTCTTAGTCGTTGAACGTAAAAATTCAAAGTTTTAAAGTGAAGTTACCAAAAAAACAATGCATTTTTCGGAGGAAAACTCTTTATTTCTGTTTTTGAGGAAATCCCTAGCATCAAAACTGAGCGGAATACGATGAAACTAATGTTGGTCTCCATTTTTTTGTCTACAAAAAATGTTAAAATTTCCCCCTAATTACCACCCCAATTGAAAATAGTCAACACTTCACCATTCAAATTATCTAAAAGAACAATTTGTTCAGGTCAGTCTCAATTCCCTACAACTCCCTTTGGATGATTTGATTCATAGCCAGTCTTCAAGTATGCCCACTGAATATATGTGAAAACTTCACCATTCTTCTTTATGTACTTGCAATGTGCTTTAGAAGATTGACCGCTGTGGTTTAAGAAGAGCAAATCATAACAAATTGTACATCAATGAAATCAAAATGAGTAGGACTATTTTTCTGTATAAAAAAACAACATGGCGCCCATAATAGGAAAAAAGTTGATGATGATTGCCAGAAGACGAAACGTTGGATAGTAAATCCGAACATGAAAACGTGTAGCTGAAAAAAAATTATCAATAAAAAATGTGTTTTTGGTTTTGAGCTATGTTGTCAAATAATGAAAAAAATAAAAACGAAAAATTCGGATTTTTAGTTTTTCCCGGATATTTCTGGAAATACTCGGAATTATCCAAGTTTCAAAACAGTATTTTATTAGGCACACAAAAACGCAATTTTGCCCCAATTCAAGCGTCGACGTATCTCCTGTAGTCTAGGAGATCCCAATAGTGGGGGTGGAATTTGAATTACCCTGTATAAATGAAGTGAACTTTAAAGTGGTAACGATCATTTTCTATTGACTTGGGAGGTAATTTTTACATTCTTTTGTTACCAAACATTGTTATTTTTGTCATTGTTTTTTTTGTTTACTTCACATTCAAACTTTAAATTTTGGCGTTTGACGCATAAGAATCAACTATCAACAAGCTATTACTCCATTTGTATATGTGATGGAATTGCCCGAAACTTTATGAAAAAACAAAATGGATCCGAGTAATACTCTATTATGAAATTTCCACTAAACAATTTACAAATCCGCAACACGTGTTTGGCTATACAAGCTCAACGTCATTTAAAAACAAAATGATAGTATACAGATCGATTATACTGTTATCATTCGAAAGTGGTTACACTGTATATTAAATTTTCATTCAAGAGATTATCATATGAACATTGTGAAATGTTCACTGAACAGTTTACAAAACCGTAACACGTGTTTTACTATACAATAGCTTTGTAGACATGTTCAATATAAACTGTTTGTACTGAACATTCTTCGAAAAACTATAGTGTAGTGAAAATGTCACAATAGTGTTACTAAAATATATATGTATTAGGTTGTTTTAAAAGTTTAACTGTGATATCTCAGTGAATACTTATTCAATTTAATCGAAATAAAAGCTATTAGAATAAGTGCACGTTAACCAACGTAACGTAACGCATTTATTCCGTCAGCTTTAAAATAGTGTACTCGGGATTTGATGAAGTCAACGAATGCTCTTTTACCTGAACCTGATTGGCTAAGGTTCTACCGGTGGGAAAGTTATCGAAGTGCTTGAAAAGATGGTAATCGGTTGGCGTGAGGCACCCATTTGTGGAGCTCTTTGGCCTTTCCAATACGTTTTAAACCATCAAAAACCGCATGGGTGCTGACGCCCAGTTCTTTCGGCATCCCACTCAACGTTTGTGATGGGTCAGTGTCCACCAGGGTCCTCAAATCCTCGTCCTGGATTACTGTGGGTCGACCACTTCATGGTTAATCTTCGAAAATAAAATGCCCGGAACGACATTTTGTAAACCAATCTCAACAGTGCGTTCGTCATTGCCAAATCTCTAGTTAGATTTTCTGGCTGTTTTGGCAGCGCTTTAGTTCAATTTGAATTCGTAGAGAAAAATTGGCAGATAATCGTTAAACGAGATCATATAGTAATAAGCTGAAAACGGACAAAAAATGAAATTTGGAAAAAATTAACAGCATCAATGCTTTTGAAACAACCTTATATTGAGAAAATAAATATTTTGAAATAAAATTTGAAACAGTCACTACTATCAACGTCCGTACGCAATATGATCTGGCAAATGCCTATAGAAAAATAACAAGTTCCTCCTATACTACGACGGACACACAGTTTTTGTGCAGGCATTTGGTAGATGACTATTCATGGGTCATTCGAGTGCTTTCACTTATCTCCTCTTTCCGCTCCACCGGTTTAACGGGAGATAACCGTTTGGCGGGAATTGGCCATTTTTCGCTTGATTATGGGTTTCCATATGTTGCGTATCTCTACGCTAGCTTGGCTGAATCAGGAACTAATCAGGAATAGCAGCGCATGTTTGGACTCATCAACAACATCGAGTGGTCCCAAGCTGAGATCATCCACAGGGAGGAACATTGGTTTAGGAGAAAATTCAAAGAAGCCGCATAGATGTTGTCCAACAATGTATTCAGCCAAGCTAGCGTAGAGATACGCAACAAATGGAAACCCATAAAAGCGGAAAACGGTCACATTCCGCTTTAAGGATAAGAAAAGTACTCGGATGACCCATAAATAGTCATGTCTCGGAGGAATTAGTCCAGTCATCACCCGAAGACGATTGTTCATGCAACAATCGAAAAGTCCTGAAGTAACTTGGCTTGAAATCTATTGAGTTTCTTTTTTTTGTTTAATTGTCTGGCTAGGTTAATGCAATTCAATATATGATCTGTGTGCAGGAGGCTTCGTAGATTCCTAAGTCCAGTAGTGTGTCGACGGCGATCCCTATCTTCCTCTTCCTGTTCTTCTATGAGTGCAACCAGCATCCAACTAGAAGTTCCTAGACCTCGTTCTGCGAGCGATGAAGACTGTACTCTCAACGAAATGATGGGTAAGTTCGACGAGAGTTACGTTTACGAAAAGGAGACTGATATTTTAAGCGACAGCGATCCAACTGATTGCGACACAGACATAGATACTGGCCAAGATGGCGGTGATGAAGATGACCCCTACGAGGGGGAGCTGGACTTCATCGATAACTGTTCTCATCATGAGTTTGAAGGTAGAGCAGATCACAACACGGGTCATTGTTCGTATTATAACTACGATGTCCAGAGAAAAAGGTCATCCAGAAGACGTGCACAGCGTAGAAGTAATAAATGCAGTGAGAAGAAACGAAGATCTTGCTCAAGTAAGAAAAGACTTGTCAAGCAAGTAGATCGTGAGAAGCATAACAACACTTTCACAGATGGTTCTAAAAGTGCTGGTGCTACCCCTGTTTCCGTCCGACGTGCCAACAGACCGATCTCTAAACTAGCCCTTGAGAGTTGTTTGAGAAAAAGGTCTAACTCTGTCAGTTCTCATCAGGATCAAATAACCACCATTGATAGAAGAGATAAAGAAGCTGACTTGAAGTACAGGGAACTGATAACTGAGGCTGAGCAAATTTTGCATTCCATGAAAATCAACGGTCTATCTCCAAAAAGAGTACCCGGACCAGCCAATAAAAGGGTGGAGCTTTTGAGGTTCACTGAATGTGCCAAACCCGAGTTGTTCACGAAAAATCGAGGGCCAATAACAGAGGACACTGTAACTACTAACCCATTTTGTTCCAAAATTCCGTCCACGAGTAGTTATAGCTGTCCTCGTTTTAGCCCGAAGAAAAACCATATCACTAAATTTATAATAAGCAACTCTCCAGTCTTATATACATCTTCTATTTGCACCAAGAAAGCCGATGATACCCGCCAAGTACAGAAGAGTATCTTGCAAAAAGAAAATACCTCAGATCTCATCAGAATGAGTCCAAGGAACAAGAGGAAAGTCAGCAGACAAATTGCCTACTCCAGCTCCGAGTCTGACGAAACCTCAAGAAGCATGAGGATATCTGAGTGTCCTCTGAGTGAACCTGTTCGAAGAAAGACTTATAGTAGTCCCAGAAATGGAAAAACTGTTCTATTCAATGTGGCTAGTGGAGCTTCAGGATATACTTCACGCAAAGAACAGATAACAAGTAGCACAGAAAATATAAGGCAACAAGTTCTGCTCAATACAATCGTTAACTTGAAAAAGAATCTGGAGGATCACTCGGCTTCTTTAAAACAGGTTTACAGGAGTTCCCATAATATTTACCTATGAATGAGAGTTCGTTAGAACTTATTGTGCCACCATTTTTAATTTTATACTAGATACCCAACAAAGAGAAGCCTATATTTTAAAGAAGGTAATAATACAACTATTTGGTATTAGTGAGATGCCGTGAGACCAACTTTAGAAGTAGTTGATTAGTTTAAAGTAAAACTTTAACAAAACGGCTAGAGTTGGAAAAACAGGATGGTTCAATAAAAACGAATTGAAGGCGAATTGTCATAGTTAAGGTCAAATATATGCTTGAAATATTTTCCTCTTGAATTCAGAATTTATTTCCAAAAGCCACCTATGATAATTATGACTTACTTCGTTTCCATTGGTCTTTCCTCTATGTCTACTGACTAAGAATATTTTTAGATGTGCTCTTTGCCTTGGCATTGAGTTAGATGAATATTCATATGGTAGTAGTTGAACTTTGTTGGAGTTATGAAATAGTTTGATTTTATTTCGAAGTAGAATGACACCTTGTAGCATATAAACTAGAACTTAGAAGCGTTAGTTACTACACTAGTTTTTGGCTCACATAAACTCTTTTTTAGGATACAGTTAGAGCATTTCATTTTTGAATGTAATTGTTATTTGTTGTTACTGAAAATATTGCAGATAGCAAGTAAAAAGCGTTGTTGAAGTTTTTGTGCAATAAATATGAAATGTGGGCCACAATTGGTAGTAGATCGATGATAGGAATGTTGATATAAGTTGTTTTTTGTGAAAATAGGTTACAAGAACAATACAAATTATGAAAATGAAGTTATTGTACATGTTCAATTGACAACACTTTGTGATGAAAATCATTGAGAAGGACATCAAGATATTGTAGAAAAAATTGGAGCTAGGTAGCCAGCATGTACGATTCATTTCATGTTAACAGTATTATCATAAAAATATCTTAATTTTTTTTCAGAAAATCAATCTCAAACCATCAAAAAAACTTATTCGAAAACATACGGAAAAGATACGATGTTTTCAGTCGGGAAGTAAAATTAGAAGAGTAGGTGAACTGATTGGATGTGTGAGTAAACAGGGTATTTGTCTTGTATTTTAATTATCTGACATTTGTACCTACACACAATGAGGGAATAATTTCGCTTACCAANGTTTTAGAAAGATTCAATATAAGTCAATTCGAATGGCATAAAAACTAAATAGTTACCGAACGTCGGCAGTTTCTTTGTATGGCATGTATGGCATACGAGGCCTAATCATTATTTTTATATGGAAGGTTTTATATGGTATTAACTAGTGAATTCATCAGACCCGGGCATTAATCTTTTATTTAACTGTTCGGATTGACTTCGTGTAGACTATACAGTACTGAACCCTTAATTATTAATATTCTTTGGAGTGAGATTCAACGAACTAACGATCCTTTCACAACCGGTGGTAAGTCAGGACAAAATTTCTTGAAAAGTACATTCTAAGTATTGAAGAAAACATGAAGAGTCTTCCGATTTTTTGTTTGGGTTGGCTTACACCTGAATTGTGACATTTTGAGTTGACAACTATTCTCATTTAATAAAATATCTTGCCACGGATTTTAGTAATTATATCGAGGTTCATTTACTTTGTTGAAGCAAGCCAATCTTGAAAATGCAAAAATGACATTCAGAATGTCAATAAAAAGTTGGTATACATCTGTTAATTTTTTGTCTTCCTTGTCATAATCTTGGACAAAATTTTCTTTAGAAGCATTTTCTTTACTTTTTAGACAATAAAAACATTCGAATTATTCGTTCCAGAATTTATTAAACTTGTTTATTTGTGCCATTAGTCAGACTAGTAGATTTATTTCATTACAACCTGTATGTAGTATACTAACTATACTGGCCTATTTTCTACGGAAAGAGGTGTACAATAATCGTGCGTTCAATATATTGAAATTAATCAGGACAGCACACTTATGGAGGCTTAGGTTTCCCGAAACAAATTTAAACGAAATTATGTTAGTTTTATTCACATTAAAACATGAAAAATTGGAATCACACCGAGATTTGACTTTTTCTAAATCAGTTTCAATTATATTTCTGAGAGAGTATGTATTATTTCCATGCCATGGTTAAGTTGTATCGTCTGCAAACATTGTAAACTGTCCTTGTATCGTCGATATTAGGTAGGTTATTCACATAGATAAGGAACAAAATGGGATCGAGCACTGATCCTTGGGGGACTCCAAAGGTGATTTTCGAAAGATAGAATTTTTTTTTGCAACTTTATCATTTGAATTTTATCTGAAAGATGAAATCGGCACCAATCAAGGGTTGTTCCTTTGATCCCATGAAGGAACAATTTTCCCAACAGCACTCAGTGATCAACGCAATCAAAGGCCTTAGAGAAGTCACAGAATACTGCCGCAGCCACTTCAACTTTATTGAGCCCTACATATAACTCTTCTAGGAAGACAAAGATAGTATCATTTGTACTTTTGGATCTTCGAAAACGTAACTGTGAGCTACTCAGTATATTGTGCGTCTCCAGAAATATTAGCAACATTTTTTTACAGGCTTCTCTATCACTTTTGACAAAGTAGATATCAGTGAAATAGGACGAAAAATGAGTCGATGTTATTCTCGTTAATGAAGACGCGCAATAACTGGTCAAATATACCTCCCTTTCCTCAATGTTTAAAAAAATCTGTTTTTCCGTTAATCAGCTGTCGCCCGTATACGAACGACAACTCTCAGAAGTTGAGAAACTTGTGCGAGCTGAGAACTAACGAGGTCTTACCTTTTAACGTGTGATTCCTAACACGGTAAAACTCATTAGTACAGAAACATTGAGGATGCGCTTGAATTTGGTCAACAAAATAGGAAGAAATAGCAATTAAACACCTTGAACATTAGAAGATATTGAACGATCCACAATAAACCCCGGTACAGACGAGCGTACAATAGGCATGACGACAGATTTGGAAAAACTGTTCTATAATGTTAAGAAATATATTATTACAACTTATATTCCCAAACTGCTGTTACAGTTTCCCCAAGCGGGGAAGAAACATCCCATGTACCAACACATGTGATGGAAAAGTAGTTGTTTTCCGGCAGGAATTTATCAGAATCTACTGTGTAGGTAGTTGGGAGAGATGAATATTTCGAGATTTTATTTCGAAATATTTATTTTGTATTTATTTTGATATTATACTTACTTAAATTATTTGTTTTAGAAAGATTCAATATAAGTATTGAAGTTTTAACATTTTTAAATTCTGCCAAGCAGTCTTTGTTTGATGTCAGAAACTCTCCCAGCACCAACAAGTCAATTTTAGGCACAATTCTAGGTTTGCAGTCACTGTAAACAATATTAAGTCGTGAAGAAAATCAGAAAAACTTTTCAGATCACCCTCGTATGAAACAAAAAATGAATGAACTGTTTTCTCATCTAATCAATACGTCATTTTGAGTTATGTGGAAATGAACAAAGCAATTTAAAATAAGTACAATACATTTGATGGACTCTTGAGTGAAACAAATTATCGAAATATACACTCTCTTTGCTCAAATTTTGCTGGGAAAATGAATCCATTAACGAAGTTTCCTTCAAAATCTTTCACCTACACTTCAAAAATCAAAAATAAAAATAGGAAACTCTGGATTACCACAAGAATTAGAATTTCTTCAAAAAATACGTGTGGAAAGACTTCAATAATACTGCCTTTGAAACATATTTCGAAAAGTTCAAAAAATACATAGAGGAATAAATTGAAAATTAAACATATTTCGAAGATATAACAGACGATGGTGCCAATGAAGTAAACGAAATATAGAACGCTGTTAATGAATTGAAAAGCAGGGGTAAGTAACCAAACATATCAAGATTCCTCTTTCCTACCATTTCAACACTTCAAATGACTGTTTCATGCCTGAGAAATAATCGGAGAACTTGAATCCTATAGAGCTTCATAATTGTACGTTCTATTAGCAACCATTAAAAAACATAAAACATATGAAAAAACATATCATGAAACTGATAATGTGTCGATCAGAATATTTGAAAACTTTCCAGATTGCTCTCTAGAAGTTTCTGTTCGTCTT